GTTTGTTTTGGCAAGGAAGTATTAATCTTTCTAAAGTTGCCTTAGGATTATGAGCTCTGTGTTTCATTAATATTATACAGTGTTTTGTGAGGATATTTTACGAAGCTTTTATGATCTATTTTACATTTGTAGCAGTGTACAATGACTGGTATTGTGTAGGTGTTAATTGTTTTAAAGCATGTTCTTCCCATTTAACTTTGATTTTAGTATGCCAGTAGGTGTGTCAACATATTTGGCCGTAGCCGTCTCTTTGATTTCTTTATGTACGATAGTATGTCTTGCCTGGAAGATACCAAGGTATTTGTAGGTGTTGCCTTCTTCTGTGGATTCAATATGACTCCCAGATTCAAGTTCAGATTCTTCAGACATTGTCTTTCCTTGGCATACTTAAGAATTTTGCACTTGTTGAGTCCAAAAAAATTTTTTAATATTGGTGGAAGAGTCCACAAGACGAAAGAGCTGATTAATGCATTGTCTTCAGTAGAACCATATAGCTTGATGGCATCCATATACATCAAGTAAGTTAATAAGATGTTTTGGTTTGACTTCATCTTTAACTTGGAAACCAACCAACATCTCTTTAAGAGATGATAATGGATCTAAGAATAAGCAGAACCATAGTGGGTTTTAACTGTCTCCCTGGGGGGAAAAATACTAGCTTTTATTTATTCTTTATAATATTGTGTTGGTGAGGTATTCTAAATAGAAAACAGTGCTCCATGTGAACATCAAATATTCCAATGCTTTTACTGTTCTTGGACCTACTTTATAAATTTGCAGTATATGAATGAAAAATTAAATCAAAGATTTTGTGATAATCAACAATGACAGTATAAATGTTAGATCATTTTCAAAACTTATTCAATAATTATTGAAGCTATACTGTTATTCTTTATACCTTTGGGGCTTTTGGCTATGTCTTTTTTGGTCTTCAGCCTGTATTTTATTTTTGCATGTATTTATAGAAGTTTTAGTAATAAAAGACGTGAATTCTTTTCATACAATACACAAACACATAAATTGGCCTATATTTGGAGGTGTCATATATTATTCCTTATAGTAAGAAAGGTAGAATCAGTCTTATGTCTCATTATCAAGTATTTCTTTCTGGAGTTTGCATTAAATGAAGATTTTCAGTGTTCTGAACCTGAATATCCATGTTCTTCAGCTTTTCCCTCCTTAGATTCTGGTAACTCCTTGCTTTCATTTTTCATTTTGCCCAATCCAGGCTTAAGGATGAAGTTCATTTTTATTTGTGTTTTTAATTGTCATCCATTGGTTGGTAATATGCTGCTATGTGATTTAGAGCTGAGAGTGCTATTGACAAAAAGCAGTATGAAACCCTTGCCTACAACTAAAGATATCTGTTTCTAGTTTTGCTATGACATAATACTTGTGCAGAATGAAAATATTCATGCCTTAATTCCCTTACATTTATTTTCCTGCTTTGCCTTCTTTAACAGACGGTGTCATCAGCACTGAAGCATTTCTAGTAGGTTGGATATGGTATTAGTATTTCTTATTTGTCCCCATTATATCTTTCCTTCTTGTGCCAATAGAACACTGAGTGCCACTCATTCTACTGTCCTCCATGTCAAATTTATTCGTCACAATAATTTGAGTAGTGCCAGTCTGCAACCCTATGCCATCAATTTCTTGGATACGTAGGATCAGTTTCACAACACTGGCCAAGATGCTAACCCAATCAGTCATATCACCAGGGTCTAAGTGGCAAGTGTTCCTGAATTTCTGAAAGATCCTCACAACTACTGTAGTGGTCTCAAGGCCCCATTGTACATTACCATTGGTGGAATTATTGCTTCCCCCCCCCCCCAACATGGATAACAAGGTTGAGAGAATAGTTGTGGTTGTTGTTATCCTTCATGAAAATCCTACTCTACTGCTTCATTGTGGCAAATAGATGACCCTGGGGTCCCTAAGGGCTATAGTGCAAACTGAAATGTAAGATCCAAAAGGTCCTATCAAGCTGGAAAGGCTTCAGATATGGACTCAGTAATGAGCTATGGGTCCACTGGCCAAGAACCAGTCCAACCAAGTTTGGAAGAAGTTATCTCCAGAGAAGCTTATGCTATAGTGGTAAAAGCATTGACTTTAGACGTGGGTTTGGATCCTGGTGTTGAATTCTGCTATTTAGTCTATAAAAGCTGGGTCAAGTCACTAAACATCTCTAGTCCTCAGTTTCCTCATTTGTAAAATGAAAACATTGAATTAAGTGATATCCACACTATAGTCTCTTCCAGGTCTATGATGGAACACATAGTATACTTACTCCCTCTTAGCTAAATTAAGCTACTATTTATGGGAAATGGGAAAACTGGGGGGAGGAGGGAAGTAGATACAAATACAGTTAATAAATACAACATTTTCTTCATAATCTTAATATATTGGGGTTTCTTAGCAGTTACATTTTGGAGTATTCAGAAGCTTGCATAAGAGAAAAATGAGCATGGATGTTTAAAGTAATAATTTTTACTTCTAACTGGAAGGGGATAAGGATTATTAACGAAAAACTGTCAGACCAGTCTTCTAAGGTCATCCATTATGGCTATTTGATCTTTTAAATACAGGATGTGGCCTTTAAAATGAATTAGCTACAAATTGTTTTTTTAATTCAAAGTTTAAAACATGAAGACTTTTATATAGATAGGAAGAGTCACTTGAATATTCAGAATCACATTGTATTGTTCTATTGCATAAATTAGTTGAAATACTAAAATCTTAAGATCTTTCTGATGGAGACTGATTAATCTCTAATGAAACTACTTTTCCTCTAGTATAATAAATCTCAAAAATCACAGTTGCATTTGTATTCTAGTTTTTTTTACTATAATATTTCCATCCAAAACAAACATTTTTATATATATTTAAGCAGTCCTTTTGGAAACAGCCTTCTCATAGTTGCACTGAAAGAAAATATCAAGTGAGCTGGACTGAAAGAAAATAGCCCTTGATTTCAAACCCATGATCTCAAAGAAGTAGGAATTCCCTTTGCTGACACAGATCTCAGCCCCTCTACGGAAAGTTGAGGGTCTTTGAGAGTTGATGAGGCTTGAAGTGTGTTGGCTAGCCTAACCTAGATAAGCTAGTCCTTAACATACATATAGCACATCATCAGACTCACATTTTTCGTAGCTCCAGATTGATAGGAGAACCCATGATCACCTCTATGCCATGAGGAGGCACTGGAGTAATATTTTAATGGAGGCCAATGATCAGGGGAATGCTGTATACTATACATAAATTTAGATTCCAGCAAAACATTTGACAGAATTTCTCATGCCATGATTATGGATGAGATACACTAACTAGTCAATAATAGAATTGGATGAATTTAAGACGCTTCAATCACAAGACCCAAAAAGTAGACATTCACAAGTTGATTTCAGTTTGGTGTTATGTTTCAAATGGATCACTCCATGGATCTTTACTGTGTGAGCCTAGAGAAGAGAAAAGTATGATAGCTGTCTTCAAATATTTGAAGGATTGTCATGTGGGATAGGGATTAGACATTTTCTTCTTGGCCCCTGAGGACAGAAGTGGAAGAAAATGAATGGAAGGTACAAAGAGGCAGACTTAGACCTGTTGAAAAAGAACACATCTTAATTATTAAGAGATATTCCAAAGTGGAATGAGTTGTCATGAGAGGTAGTAGATTTTCCCTTATTGGAGGCTGTCAAGCAGAGGATGGATTACCTCCCATTGCCCATATTTTAAAATGGATTTGGAATCAGATATGAGTTAGACTAGATGATCCCTGATATTTCTGCTCTTAGGTTCTGTGAAATTAGATTGTGTTGTTCTATTAAATTAAGGTGAAATTACCTAAAAAAAATCAGAGTTTAGAGAAACTCAACATTTCCATAATGTAAGAGCTTCACCACTAATGGCAGTGGTAACTGAGTAGAATTGAGGCCTTTTCTTCTTGAATCCACACACTTTTAACCACTCATTGAAAAATTAAATGGGGAAGTATCTTGGCAGAAAGGACTTCTCAAAGATAGATAATCTCGGGGGCAGCAATGTGGTGCAGTATGATAGAGTATGGGCCCTAGAGTCAGGAGGACCTGAGTTCAAATCCAACCCAGACACTTGACACTTACTACCTGTGTGACCCTGGGCAAGTCACTTAACCCCCATTGCCTCACACACACAAAAAATAGATAATCTCTTTTCTCTCTTTCCTCTCATATTGTTCTAAGCCAAAGCTTCCATACTTCTTGAAACTCTGCAGAAATAGTAGGGTCAGGGTATGACCATTGTAAATGAGTATCCTTTCTATTCTTGTCACTTCTCTGTTTCAATGACAGAACTCTTAGCAAAGCTCAGATAAAAGACATGCAGATCTAGGACATGAAATATGGACCTGGGATTCCAGAAATTTAATATATTTGTCCCTTTTCACTTCTGAATGATATGGGTAAGGGGAAGCAGGAGTAAATGCATATTTTTTATGTATCAGTTTCTACATGTATAGCCTAAAGTTATTGTATTTTATACCTATTAACTGTTTGAGGGCTTAAGGGAATTTTTTGTGATAGTCTCTGGAAGCTTATGGCCCCTGGCATAGAAATGCAAAATAATTGCAAGCAAAATGTGTAATAATATTTGACTTTAGTCTCAGGAACCTCTTTGTTGATCTAACTTTAACCAGAAAGAAAGGAAGGAAAGAAGAAAGCAAGGAAGGAAAGAAGAAAGGAAGGAAAAAAGGGAGAGAGGAAAGGAGGAAGAGAGGGAGGAAGGAAGAAAGAAAAGAAGGAAGGAAGGAAGTTGAAGATCTGAAGGAAGGAAGGAGAGGAGAGGAGGGATAAAGTCACAGCTCCAAAACATTAAAAACATCTAAACACAAGTGTTCTTTTGGCTTTGTTACTAGACACACGTTTTTATGAGTTGTGAGAGAACTTTGTAATTTGGAGTTGTTTACAGAATGCCACATAAACATCAGATCTGAAAATTCATGTTTTTCTGTTTTTAATTTTAAGGTCCTTTTCATTGGAGATTCAACCAACAGAGGAATAATGTATTATCTGATTGAAAGAGTCAACGAAACCCTGCAGGAATGGCAGAAAGTGCACAGCATTAAATCATACTACAATGTCAACAATGGCAGAACATTCATCAGTTACTCCTATTATCCCCAATTCTGGATCAGTGTTTCACAAAGGCCAACATTTGAAAAAGCTCTTGAACAACTTTTGCAGAGGTACAATAAAGCCTTGATATATTGACTTGGTGGTGTCCTCCCCGGTAACAGATATATCTGACTGGCAGCTTTAATTAGTCACTGTTACATACTCTCTGCCAAATGTGCTGAAAAGCTCAGGCTCCCAATGATGTGGCTGAGAAATAGTAGGAAATGACAAGCGGGTCTTCTGATCAGGATGCCAGATATGGTTCAATGAAATGTAATGCAGTTCTGTTCAAATGTTTACCATCTGTTTTAAAGCAACATATGTGATTTTTTTTTCTTTCTGGATTGCAGATCATATCCCCTTGAGAACACAGACCAGACTATATTAGTTGTTGGTGGTGTTCAATGGCTTAATTCCAATCACCTACAAATTATTCACAAGGTTTTGAAGAGGTAATATTCTGAAACAAAATATTTCTATGTTCTCTTCTGTGCAAAAAAGGAATCTTTGAGGTGATTGAGTTTGACCAAGATTTGATTTCAAGAACAAGCTTTAATTTTATGTAGGCACACACCTAAGTCATCAAGCATTTATTAGTCACTTACTATATGCCAGACACTGTGCTAAGTCCTAGCGATAAAAAGAAAGGCAAAAACAGTACCTGTCCCCAAAGAGTTTGCATTCAAATGGAGAAGATAACATGGAAACAACTATGTAGATAAAGGATATATTCAGTGTAGATGGCAGGAGCACTTTGGGGGACCAGGAGAAGCCTCTTGCAAAAAGCAAAATTTGAGCTAAGACATGAAGGAAGACAGGAAGAAGAACATTCCAGGAAAATGAAACAGCTGGTGAAAATCCATGGCGTTGAGATATGGAGCATCTTGTGTAATAAACAACAGAGGCCAGTGTGACTGGATCATAAAATGGTGGGGAGTAAAGTGTAAGAAAACTGGAAAAGAAATGAAAGGTCAAACAGAGGATTTTATGTTTGATACTGGAGGTAATGGGGAGCCACTGGAGTTTATTTGACCAGGGTTGGGCGGCAATGATGGGGTCATACCAGCACTTTAGGAATATCACTCTGCTAGCTGAGTGGAGGAGGATAGACAAAAGTAGGGAAACACTTGTAGTGGAAGGACCAATCAGAAGGCTATGGCTGTAGTCTAGGTATGAGGTGACAAGTCCTTGTACTAGACTATATCAGAGGAGAGAGGGAAGTTTCATAAGGTTTATTTTTTTTATGTTTAAATACTCTAGAATTTTATTTTTAAAAGTTTACCATTATGCATATTTGGATATATTAGAAATCAAATCATGGGCCTACCATAACCTACTTTAGTAGCCTTCACGACATGGAGGTAACCCTGGGTTCTTGAAGGCCATGCTAGCAAAATTTTGGCAAATCTTACCAAGCCAGAAAGTACTGGGCCCACTCAAGAACTATAAACCTGTTGCCTGAGCAATAGCCTTCCTGGGTTCAAAGAGACTTTTCACCAGTCCAGGTCAATGGACTTTTTTTGGCTACAGGAACTCTTGAAGGCCATCCAATAGGTTTTATGTCTGGTGAAGGAGAACTCATGCTGACAAAAGCAAAGATTTTTGAAGCATTGAAGTAAGTCAGTAGAAGCCCATTGTAACAAAGCAGCTAGTTGGCACAATAGATAGAGTGATAAAGTTGAAGATCTGAGTTCAAATCCTATCTGAGACACTGAGTACCTATGTGATCTTGGCAAGTCATTAAACCTTTATTCCTCAGTTTCCTCCTCTATAAAATAGGTATAATGATAGCAACTACTTCCCAGGATTGTTGAAAATTTCAAATAAGGTAACATGTAAAGCACTTTATAAACCTTAAAGTGCTCTATAAATGTTATCTTTAAAAAAAAAATCATTCTACAAATCCAAGCACACTATAAGTCAATCATGAGCCTAAGAAAAAACAATTATGTTTGGCAATACTCTAATATTATACAGTTACACTGTTTGCTATTGACAGTTAGGAGTACCAGTCCTGTTCTCCAACATCCCACATTTAAAGGGGTACCACAATGAACCTTTGTTGAACATGAATATAATACATGTACTTGACTTTGAAATCTCTTCTATTTTTTCCAGGGAAAACTTATTAAATATTCTGGTGGTTATCAAAACTCTGGGAATGGGGTTTCATCTGCCTGTTGATGGAGTGCATTCTTTAACCCAGGTAGGTCAGAGTTGCCTTGTACTCCCATAAATTATTTGGTATCAGTAAGCACTTTAGCTGTCCCTTATTATTCAACAAAAAGAGAGAGATAAAAAATGGATGGTCCATATTCTCCATTCATAGTGTGGAGAGAAAATTTTGAAGGCCCCTAGTACATTGGGAAAATCACTGAGAGAAACCTGTGGAAGGACATGGGTAAGAGTCATACAGGATGGACAGGAATGGATGGATTGTGATCCATATGTTTAAAGGGAATATTTACTTTAATGAAATTACAAATCCGGGGATGAAGCCAAGATGGCAGAGTGAAAGAAATGACTTGCTTGAGCTCTCCCCCAAACCCCTCCAAAAAAGCCCAATTCAACCTGGATGGTTGATCAGAAAGGTATATCGCGCTGGACGGGGAGAGGAGCACAGTTTGGCATGGGCACGCAGGCCGCAGCAAACCTAGAGCAGGCATCAGAGGACTGAATCACGGGCAACTGTGGCGGTTTCCAGAACTCAAAACCCACGAATGCCAAAGACAGCTTAGAAGGTCAGTGGGAAAAGTCTGTGACTGTGGGTGAGAGAGGAGCTAGGTCTCAGCCGCAAGTCCCTAGCGTGGCCTCTGGGGCAGCAGCTGCCTCCTGAGCTCCCAGCCTACAGACTGAGGGGGAATCGAGTGACTGATCAGAGGGGGATTACAGGGATCTCTTTGCCGGTGCTGAGGCAGGAATCTCTTGCTTTGCCTGTGCTTGGATCTGGGTCATAGTTCTGAGGGGCAGTCCTGGGGCGAGGAAGGGTGCTGGCTTGGTGGAGCTTGTTGTGGCTGTGGAGAGGAAACACCCCGCCCCTTATCATACCACTTTGGAAGAACTGAAAATTTACAGGTCTTTAGAAGTACCTCTGAAAACAGCTGTACAAACCCCCAAAGCTTGGGACAGTACATTCTCCACATTGGAAGCAGACTCTTACCTTAATAAAGAGTTTAAAACTCAAGTAATTGGCCGGGATTATGAGTAAACAGCGCAAAAAGAGTCAGACTATATTATCTTACTTTGTTGACAAAGAAGATCAAAACATACAACTAGAAGAAGACAACAAAGTCAAAGCTCCTACATCCAAAGCCTCCAAGAAAAATATGAATTGGTCCCGGGTCTTGGAAGAGCTCAAAAGAGATTTTGAGTAGCAAGGAAGAGAAGTAGAGGAAAAATTGGGAAGAGAAATGAGAGTGATGCAAGAAAATCATGAAAAACAAGTCAACAGCTTGCTAAAGGAGACCCAAAAAAATACTGAAGAAAATAACACCTTGAAAAATGGCCTAACCCAAATGGCAAAAGAGGTTCAAAAAGCCAATGAGGAGAAGAATGCCCTAAAAAGCAAAATTGGTCAAATGGAAAAGGAAGTCCAAAAGATTACAGAAGAAAATACTTCCTTAAAAATTAGAATAGAGCAATTGGAAGCTAGTGACTTTATGAGAAATCAAGACACTGTAAAACAAATCCAAAAGAATGAAAAATGAGAAAACAATGTGAAATATCTCATTGGAAAAACAACTGACCTGGAAAATAGATTCAGGAGAGAGAATTTAAAAATTATTGGACTATCTGAAAGCCACAATCAAAAAAAGAGCCTAGACATCATCTTTCAAGAAATTATCAAGGAAAACTGTCCTGACATTTTAGAACCAGAGGGCACAATAGAAGTTGAAAGAATCCACCAATCTCCTCCTGAAAGAGATCCCCAAAGGAAAGCTCCTAGGAATATTGTAGCCAAATTCCAGAGTTCCCAGGTCAAGAAAAAATATTACAAGCAGCCAGAAAGAAACAATTCAAGTACTGTGGAAACACAATCAGGATAACACAAGATTTAACAACTTCTACATTAAGGGACCACAGGGCATGGAATATAATATTCCAGAGGGCAAAGGAGATAGGATTACAACCAAGAGTCACCTACCCAACAAAACTGAGTATAATCCTTCAGGGGAAAAAATGGTCATTCAGTGAAATAGAGGACTTTCAAGCATTCTTGATGAAAAGACCAGAGCTGAATAGAAAATTTGACTTTCAAATGCAAGACTCAAGTGGAACATGAGGAGGTAAACAGGAAAGAGAAATCAAAAGAGACTTATTAAGGTTGAACTGTTTACATTCCTGTATGGAAAGATGATATTTGTAACTCATGAGACCTTTGTCAGTATTAGGGTAGTTGGAGGGAAAAAATTATATGTATGTATATATAGATATAGGTATAGCTATAGCTATAAATATAGATAGATAGATAGATAGATAGATAGATAGATAGATAGATAGATA